TGGGTAATTAGGATTCTCAATGTCAGTTTTCTAGAAATCTAAAATTTATCCCTCTACCAAACAACCCATTGATGTAGGAATTTTAATGATAGAAATGCAACTATACAAATACCCTTTTGTTGCCTCGTCATATGCCTTAGATATTGTTGAGTTATCAATCCCCGTTGACGTAAAGATTGTTAAGAAACTTTATAGGAATTGTTGCTTCTCCTCTTGTACTAACTTTGAGATGTTGAGGGATAACATGGTATTTTTTTTTCTCAAGTTGGAGGATTTGTCAGTAATGGAAGGCGAGGCTCTTGGTGGTAATATTTGATTCTCAAACTAGTTTAAGCTCAGAAGATTGTGGGTTAAGTGCAAGTTGCAAGAGGTGCAGAAACATAGTTTTATAGTGTTTAGCCTAATGTGAAAAGGAAATTAAGATGGAAAGACCATGAACTAAAAAGAAGGGAAAAATATTTTGAGTTGTGATCCTTGAGGAAACCAATAGTTTTTACATAAGCCATCTTGATAATTGAGATTCTAAACTAAGAATATTGTGAAAGTTTTTTGTCTTAGTTTTACATGGAACGTGAATGTTGGGAATCTAGGGCCCCACTTCCCATTTATTAGACTCGAAACCAACTATTACAATTTACAATGCTTTTGTACTAGTTGTACTCCTGAAGGTAATTATTTCATATGTTTATTTAACGTTAATGTAGAGGATTATTATATAGTTGTTCTTATATTTTATTATAGGTAAATATTGCGTTGTTGACTCTGGAGATCTAAGTTTCAAAGGATTTTTGGGACCATGTAAAAACACATGATATCATCTTTCTTAATTTAGGTTGGCCCTGAATTTTAGATCACAAAATAAAGCCTTCAATTATTATCATTCAAGTTTAAGGAGAGTTATTCAAAGAACCTTTGGAGTTTACAAAGCAAGGTGGAGGGTATTACAGAACATGCCAGCTATGAGCTTAAAACTCAATTTGCTATCATGTCAGCCTATACTCTCCATAATTATATTCGGAGAAATGATTCATGTGACATAGATTTACTTACAATATTTGAGAATAATAACGATTTTGAAGCCAATGAAGATGATCTTGGAGAAGATGAATGGGAAAGGTCAAATAGAGAGTCAATTAGATAAATTGCACAAACAAGAGATGATATTAAAATTCAATTCTCAGAGTGCATGCATTGATGACTTTTATAAACTCATGATAAGACTGCTATTATTATTATGATTGTAATAGAATTGAGTTAAAGTTACTTTTCGCCGGTGGTTATTAATTTTTATTGTTATCGTAATTTATTTCCTATTTTTCTGTCATCGTATAAAGTTCTTTTCATCCAAATGCATTATGAAAAAAGCAATTTTACATTATCCTTTTCAGTAATTTTATATTTAAAAAATATTTTTTATTTTAACATGCAAATTATAATAGCTCTAACCTAATTAATTAGTAAATTAAATGTGATTGAATAATTAATCATGTAATAGTGAGTAAAATTAAGTATAAGAATTAATTAAATGAATTGGAGTCACTTTGAAGATAAAAAGTGTACTCTGTGAAAATTAAGGGGTACAAATGGGTGTAGGCAAAAGTACCCAAAATATAAAAATAAAAGTGGAAATATTCCTAGAATAATATTTCAGACTTTTGGGTAAAGTTTGGTAATTAATGGAGTTAAATAGATAGATGAGCTGATACCCACCTAAAGTCACTTAACTAATGTAAGGGACTTAAAAAACAAAAGAAAAAGACCCTTTGTCCCCCCATAGACCCGTCGACCTGAAAGAGAAGAAAGAAGAGAAGAAGAAGAAGAAGAGAAAAGGAAGAGAAGAGGGAGGAGAAACCTAGGGTGAGTGATTCTCAACCGTTTTCCTTGATTCAAAAGCCTAAACCACTTAGAATCTTGCTCTCATTCATAATTTCCTTGATTCAAAAGCCTAAACCACTTAGAATCTTGCTCTCATTCATAATCCTAGCTTGGTTCTTAGTGGGGAGCTTTGTGTTGTGAGATTTCTTCTCTCAAAAATCCGCCCCTTTGAAGGTTGAAGGGGGTTTGGAGAGCATTTGGCTCTTTGGAAGCTTGAGGAACGCTCATTGCATTGTTGTATGATCATTGGTGGTAAGCTTCCACTCTCTTTCACACAAAGTTCTTAAGTTTTGCATGAGTTAGGGTTTGGTTGAATAGTGTTTTAGGGTTGTGATAGTGTGAGTAAATTAGCTATGTTCTAGGAAGAATGGAGCTTAGTGTATGTTATGAAAAATGTTAGTAATGGCATTTAATCAATGAAAATGAGATTAGATAGTCATTGATTAATACTTTGAGAAGTGCAAAACTGTCATGCTTGGAATTGTGGAAATTCTTGCATTGTTGAACCATTGCTTGGTTGGTTATTGATTGTATCCTTGTGTTGTCTAGGATTGAGGCAATTGGACCAACCTTAATTGACCAACCGTTGGAGCAAGAAATGGAGCTTGATTAGCTCTTTGGAATAGGTAAGTTCATGCCTTGGTTGATGAATATATGATATTCTTGAATGCAATATGTTGATTGCATTACACCTTGGTGTAAGTGTGTACTTTGCAAGTTATAGCTTGAATACAAAGTTGACTAGTTGTAGAACCTGTTGGTGGTGAACAAAGGTTGAACTGAAGCTGTGAGGTAAGCCTTCGGACCTTGGTGTAAATCCCTCTATTGTTCCACCAAGCCCTGAATGGGTAGTGGTTGTTGATAGTGTATATAAACGCAAAGAAATAGTTTAATGTTTTGTTATACGTATGTGTATGCATTTGGTGTGGCATAGGATGGTGTTTCCCTATGTTGGTATGTTGCATGACGATGCATAATTCATACTTGGTAGTTTAGCTGGCCAGTAGGACTATTTACATCTGAGTATCCTTAGGACAGCTTGAGGGCTCGAGGGATTTCTCCTGGAGATGTTATTTACACTTTGCATAGATATGTATTTACTGCATTATTATTGTTATTGCTATTACACTGATGTTGAACTGTGGGGTGGAGAAATGCTCCAAGGACCGCTGGTTTACTGGATATATTCGTATATTTCACCCCGTGTTGTGGGGACCCCCTTTCAGGAAAGGATGCTGCACGAGCCACCAGTGGCAAGTGGCCGTATTTGGATTAGTGATGCATGAAGATGTTGCACTTTTTGGGATTATACATATGACATGTAGAAATATCATGTATAGGAGTTATATTTGAAAGCAAATCATAACATGTATACCATGCTTTATTTGATGGACTTAGCCTATGCTCATTTCTTGTGGTCTCTCTTTTGTTTTTGGGAACCAAGGATTTGATCATAGTGTTTTGTAACTAAGTCCCGTTATTCTGTAATTAAGACATGTTGGATATATGTACATGATGAAAGGATATGCATGTTTCTTTTGAAGTGTATGTATCTTGAAAGAACAAAGAACCATCTATTGAAAGGATTCTATGATGTCAATTAGGTGTAATAACCCTTGAAGAATGAATGGGGAATGGAGTTTCCCCAAGGAACTCACCCAAAAACAGGGGAGACCAAGTCTGCCCCAGGTGGAGGGCGCTTCAGCGCTGGTTTGGGCGCTCAAGCGCGCTAGTTACGTAAAAATAAGGGAAAGCCACTGCCTCTCGGCGCTCAAGCGCTGGTTTGGGCACTCAAGCGCGCTAGATACATAAAAATGAGGGAAAGCCACTGCCTCTCGGCGCTCAAGCGCTATTTTGGGCGCTCATGCGCACTTGATACGTGAAAATGAGTGAAAGCCACTGCCTCTGGGCGCTCAAGCGCTTATTTGGGCGCTCAAGCGCTGACTTCGGGCGCTCAAGCGCGCAAACACCCACTCAAGTGCTCTAAATGACCTGATGGTGACCAAAATTCTTCTCTGTGGGCGCTCGAGCGCCCATTTGAGCGCTCGGGCGCGCATCCCGAGACAGCACCAACCTAGTTTACTAAAATAGTCATAACTTGAGCTTCAGATCTCTGATTTGAGCGCGGTTTGAATCCACGCGAAGCTATCTGTGAGTTCTATAACATAGAATGAGATGAGAACTATAAAGTAATTACAGTAATTCCAATTTAATAAAATGTGAAGAGAGTTTAGTATTGAACTCGAACAAAATAATGATATGATGTTAAGCTTAATTTATTTTATTCCGCAATGTAATATGGTTATGATCACGCAATTGGGCATTATAAATTCGGCATGTTTTAAAAAAAGAAAAATTTAACTGAATTTTAATTGAACCCATGTGATTGTAACTGCGCTTAATATCATAATGCGATGTTAACAAACCGATTCTAGAATGGGGCGTTACATTTTATGGTATCAGAGCAGTTTCTTAGGGAAACTTGTGGATTATTGTTATATATGTTTGGTGTTTAATGCTTTATAGTTTCTTTGGTACTCTTTATGATTATTGCATTTGTGATCACTGAGTGTGAGCCTGATCAACTCATTTATTTGTGTAACATGTGTAGTGACATGACAAGGAACCGAAACAACCCTGGACCATCAAATACCAATGCTAAGCCAGAACCTATTTTGGCTGCTTTAGTGAGGCCCAGAAGTGGCCGTGTGGCAACGGGCGGGCAGACTAATCTCGTGGCTGAAACTCTTGCAGCCGTTCAAAGGGAGTTAGCTGATAGCCGGCAAGCCAATGAAAATTTGTTAAAGATAAATGAAAACTCGCGGAATGCTATGGCCGCGATGATGAACGAGTTGAGGACGTTGAGGGGTGTTAGACATGAGAACCGGCAACCCACTCCTCCTCTTCACACTGCCACGCCTTCTCCACCTCTTTTACATGAAGAGGGTGTAGTGGGTAACAATGAGGGTGAGGCTAGTCACCATTCTGGAAGTCATAGTCATAGTCATCACACCGAGGTTCGTCAACCACGTGTTGAGCATGTTGATGAACACGAAGCTGAAGAAAGGAGATTGACGGCTTTTCGAAAACACAAACCTCCTTCTTTCAAGGGAGGATATGAACCAATGGCGGCAGAAAAGTGGCTCCAGGCTATGGAGAAAATCTTCAGGGTGATGAGATGCCCTGATGCAATGAAGTTGGTCTACTCCGTGTATATGCTGGAAGAGGAAGCCGAGGATTGGTAGTGCAGCCCTTAGAAGCTGAAGGCCGGGAAATCACCTGGCGGTTGTTCGAGACGTTGTTCTTGGATAACTACTTCCCTAGGGAGGCTAGGGAACAGAAGCAGAATGAGTACAATGACCTAAAGCAAGGGTCGATGTCAATTGACCAGTACTTTACTAAATTCAATGAATTGGTGAAGTACGCCAATTATGGGAGAGCCCTACCTACTCCAGCTGAGATGACCTCCAAGTTCCAATGGGGTCTGAATGAGAAGATGTCTCGGAAGATGTCAAATTGTGACATCCGAGAGTTCAGCAGATTTGTGAATCAGTGTAGGAAGGTAGAAGAAGTATACAAGGGGTCCCAGTCCAAGAAGTCTCCTGAGGCCCAGGCAACTAATGCCAATAAAGCAACGGGCTCAAGTTATTGGAAGAATAAGAAGATGAAAGGCAAGAAGCTAAATGTGAACAACCCATTCGACTTATTCAAGAAGTCCAGGACTCAAAAGAATTTTGTGGATAGAGGCCCTCCTCCCAAGTGTAAAGGGTGTGGAAAAGAACATAGAGGTCCGTGTGCTACGGGTGAAGTTATTTGCTATAAGTGCGGAAGAGCCGGTCACTACTCTAGGCAGTGTCCTCAGAATGAAGCGAGGACTATGGCAGTTCAAGCTACTGTTGTTCCTGTCTCGGTTGTTCCACCTATGATATAGTCCTAGACGGTTGGTAGAGTGTATACCATGGACCGTCAGCAATCAGAAAAGGCTCCGAACCTTGTGAAAGGTATAATTTATATTAATGATATGAATATTGAAGTTTTGTTTGATTCAGGAGCTACACACTCTTGTATGTCTGATTTTATGGCCGTTGGGCTAAATCTGTAATTGTACGACATTTCTCCTCCTATGAAAGTGGTGACTGCTACTGGAGAGGAGTGTTATACATCAGTTTTATGTAAGGATGTTGAGTTTAAATATGAAGGCCGAGATTATGTGCTGGATTTTATTTGCTTACCTATGATAAGCCTTCAAGCTATCTTGGGAATGGATTGGCTATCAAAGAACTGTGCTATGATAGACTGCTGTGGAAAAAGGATTGTGCTTTCTGCTGATGATTCTGCTACTAGTTCTTCCCCATATCTATCTGTGTTGCAGGTTAGAAAGGCTTTGAGGGTCGGGGCATTGGGATATGTCTTTGTGGGGGGTTTAGTGGGCGGAAGTCATGAGGAGATCGACAATATTTTTGTGGTGAAGGAGTTTGTGGATGTGTTTCCAGATGAAATTCTGCAACTTCCGCCTCATAGAGAGATTGAGTTCACGATTGATCTATTGCCTGGTGTGGGGCCTATCTCTCTGGCTCCGTATTGGATGTCACCACTAGAATTAGCCGAGTTAAAGAAGCATATTGAGGAGCTTTCGGCTAAGCAGTTTATCATGCGAAGTGTGTCCCCGTGGGGAGCACCAGTTATATTTGTTAAGAAGAAGGATGGTAGCATGAGGTTGTGCACTGATTACCGTCAGTTGAATAAGGTTACCATTAAGAACAAGTATCCTCTCCCTCGCAGAGATGATTTGCTTGATCGGTTGAGGGGTGCTTGTGTCTTTTCAAAAATTGATTTGAGGTCGGGTTATCATCAAATCTGATTAGGCAGGAAGGTATTCCGAAGACTGCCTTCCGATCTATATATGGACATTATGAGTATCAGGTAATTCCATTTGGACTCACTAATGCTCCGGCGGTGTTTATGGATTATATGAATCACATTTTTAAGCCGTTTCTGGATCAATTCGTGATTGTGTTTATTGATTATATCCTGATATATTCCAAGAGTAAGGAAGAGCATGAGGATCACTTGAGAACTGTGTTGCAAATTCTTAGAGAGAAACAGTTGTATGCAAATCCTTCCAAATGTGAATTCTAGCTTTCTCAAGTGCAATTCCTGGGTCACGTCATTTCTGCTGATGGAGTGGCGGTTGATCCTAGCAAAATAGAGGCAGTTATTGATTGGGAGAGACCCAAGACTGTAACGGAAGTAAGGAGTTTTCTTGGTTTGACTAGTTATTACCATAGATTTATTAAAGAATTTTCGGCCATGGTTTTGCCACTGACCCGTTTGACCCGGAAGGATACTCCATTTGGTTGGACGCAAGAATGCGAAGAATGTTTCCAGAATCTTAAGGAAAAATTAACAACAGCTCCTGTGTTAGTACTTCCTGATCCGGAAGGTGAATTTGAGCTATACAGCGATGCTTCCAAAAAAGGATTGGGATGTGTGCTGATGCAAGATAGGCGGGTGGTAGCTTATGCATCGAGGCAATTGAAACCGCATGAAGAGAACCATCCGACCCACGACTTGGAACTTGCTGCAATTGGTTTTGGGCTGAAACAGTGGAGGCACTTCTTGTATGGAATGAAATTTGCAGTATTTAGTGATCACAAGAGTTTAAAATACTTGTTTGATCAAAAGGAGTTGAATATGAGACAACGACGGTGGACCGAGTTCCTAAAAGACTATGATTTTGAAATGAAATATCATCCTGGCAAGGCTAATGTTGTAGCTGATGCACTGAGCCGTAAATCTGTGAGCTTAGCAAGCATGATGATTAGAGACTATGATGTGATTGAGAGGTTCAGAGATATGAAATTATCTAAAATCTTTCCATGTAGAATTTGTGGCATCGAAATTACAAGCATGGAAAATGAAATAATGACCAGAATTAAAGAAGCTCAACTGCAAAATGAAAGTGCTAAACGACTGAAAGGTCAGAGTGGTGTATCCTGCAATGACGAGGGCATACTATTATATCAGGGTCGTATTGTTGTACCTAGGCAGTTGGCGGAGGAAGTAATGACAGAGGCTCATAAGGGTCAATTCACAGTTCATCCGGGAGCTACAAAGATGTATCAGGATCTAAAGATTAATTTCTGGTGGCCTGGTATGAAGAAAGACATTGCCGAATTTGTCTCTAAGTGTCTCATTTGTCAGAAGGTCAAGATTGAGCATCAAAAGTCTTCTGGTATGTTGCAACCTCTGGATGTTCCTGAATGGAAATGAGAGAGTATCTCCATGGATTTCGTAGTGGGTTTGCCGCGAACACAGGCTAGTTATGATTCTATATGGGTGATTGTGGATTGATTGACAAAATCCGCACACTTTTTGCCAGTACGGGTAGACTTCTCTGCTGAGAGATTAGCTAGGCTCTATGTGAAGGAGATTGTGAGGCTTCATGGGGTGCCTGAGAGCATTGTTAGTGATCGGGACCCGAAGTTCACTTCTCGCTTCTGGGGAGCATTGCAGGAGGCTTTTGGCACTCAGTTGAGACTGAGCACTGCTTATCACCCATAGACGGATGGTCAGACTGAGAGGACCATTCAGACGTTGGAGGATATGCTGAGGGCTTGCACCCTGGAGCAGGGTACTGCATGGGATCGATATCTCCCGCTGGTTGAGTTCTCTTATAATAATAGTTTTCATGCTAGTCTGGGTATGGCTCCCTACGAGGCCTTGTATGGTCGCAGGTGTAGGACACCTACTTGTTGGTCAGAGGATGGGGACTTGGACTGGATTTTGTTCATGAGACTACTGAGCAGATCAAAATGATTAGGGATCGTCTGAAAAAGGCTCAGGATCGTCAGAAAAGTTATTATGATCTCAAGCATCGGCCTCTGGAGTTTGAAGAGGGAGATAATGTATTCTTAAAGTTATCACCGGTTACGGGTGTTGGACGAGCTTTGGGAGTGAGGAAGCTGAGTCCGAGATTTATTGGACCCTACCAGATTCTTCGTAGGGTTGGACCGGTTGCCTACCAGCTTGTCTTACCTCCTCAATTATCAAATTTGCACGATGTATTCCATGTTTCTCAGCTGAGAAGATATGTGGCGGATCCTTCTCATGTGGTTCAACCAGATGATGTGGAGATTCGGGAGAAATTGAAAACTCCTGTTGGGACACTGAAAATACTCGAAAGAGATGAGAAGAGGCTGAGGAATAAATCCATTCCTATAGTGAAGGTCCAGTGGGAAGGAAGGACGCCTGAAGAGTCCACTTGGGAGCGGGAAGATGAGCTTCTCCAGCAGTATCCTGAGTTTAAGGACAGGTATGTTCTTGATTTTGCGGACAAAATTGCTAAAAGGTGGGGTGACTATAATAGCCCTAACCTAATTAATTAGTAAATTAAATGTGATTGAATAATTAATCATGTAATAGTGAGTAAAATTAAGTGTAAGACTTAATTAAATGAATTGGAGTCACTTTGGAGGTAAAAAGTGTACTCTGTGAAAATTAAGGGGTATAAAGGGGTGTAGGCAAAAGTACCCAAAATATAAAAATAAAAGTGGAAATATTCCTAGAATAATATTTCAGACTTTTGGGTAAAGCTTGGTAATTAATGGAGTTAAATAGATAGATGAGTTGATACCCACCTAAAGTCACTTAACTAATGTAAGTGACTTAAAAAAAAAAAAAGACCCTTTGTCCCCCCCCCCCCCCCCCCACAAACCCGTCGACCAGAAAGAGAAGAAAGAAGAGAAGAAGAAGAAGAAGATAAAGGGAAGAGAAGAGGGAGGAGAAACCTAGGGTGAGTGATTCTCAACCGCTTTCCTTGATTCAAAAGCCTAAACCACTTAGAATCTCGCCCTCATTCATAATACTAGCTTGGTTCTTAGTGGGGAGCTTTGTGTTGTGAGATTTCTTCTCTCAAAAATCCGCCCCTTTGAAGGTTGATGGGGTTTGGAGAGCATTTGGCTCTTTGGAAGCTTGAGGAACGCTCATTGCATTGTTGTATGATCATTGGTGGTAAGCTTCCACTCTCTTTCACACAAAATTTCTTGATTTTGCATGAGTTAGGGTTTTATGAATAGTGCTTTGGGGGTTTATGATGAGGTGAGTAAATGAGCTTAGATAGTCAAATGATTATACTTGGGAAATTGCAAGATTTAATGCTTGATGTTGGACTTTCTTGCATTGGTAATCAATAGTTTGGTTTGGTTGGTTATTAATTATGCCTTTGTTATGTTAGGGTTGAGGCATTGGGACCAACCTTGAGTGACCAACCGTTGGAGCAAGCTATGGAGCTTGATTAGCTCTTTGGAATAGGTAAGTTCATGCTTTTGTTGTGGTATGAATTGGATAGTTTAGTTGATGAATATGTGATATTCTTGAATGCAATATGTTGATTGTATTACACCTTGGTGTAGGTGTGTACTTTGCAAGTTATAGCTTGAATACAAAGTTGACTAGTTGTGGAACCTGTTGGTGGTGAACAAAGGTTGACTGAAGCTTTGAGGTAAGCCTTCGGACCTTGGGTGTAATTCCCTTGATTGTTTCACCAAGCCCTGAATGGGTAGTGGTTGTGATAGTGTTTATAAATGCAATAAAGTAGTTTAATGCTTTGTTATACGTATGTCTATGCATTTTGTGTGGCATAGGATGGTGTTTCCCTATGTTTTGTATGTTGCATGACGATGCGTAATTCATACTTGGTAGTTTAGCTAGCCAGTAGGACTATTTGCATCTAAGTATCCTTAGGACAACTTGAGGGCTCGAGGGATTTCTCCTGGAGATGTTATTTACACTTTGCATAGATATGTATTTACTGCATTATTATTATTATTGCTATTACACTGATGTTGAATTGTGGGGTGGAGAGATGCTCCAAGGACCCCTGGTTTACTGGATATATTCGTATATCTCACCCCATGTTGTGGGGACCCCTTTTCAGGAAAGGATGCTGCAGGAGCCACCAGTGGCAAGTGCCGTATTTGGATTAGTGATGCATGAAGATGTTGCACTTTTTGGGATTATATATATGACATGTAGAAATATCATGTATAGGAGTTATATTTGAAAGCAAATCATCACATGTATACCATGCTTTATTTGATGGACTTAGCCTATGCTCATTTCTTGTGGTCTCTCTTTTGTTGTTGGGAACCAAGGATTTGATCATAGTGTTTTGTAACTAAGTCTCATTATTCTGTAATTAAGACATGTTGGATACATGTACATGATGAAAGGATATGCATGTTTCTTTTGAAGTGTATGTATCTTGAAAGAGCAAAGAACCATCTATTGAAAGGATTCTATGATGTCAATTAGGTGTAATAACCCTTGAAGAATGAATGGGGAATGGAGTTTCCCCAAGGAACACACCCAAAAACAGGGGAGACCAAGTCTGCCCCAGGTGGAGGGCGCTCAAGCGCTGGTTTGGGCGCTCAAGCGCGCTAGATACATAAAAATGAGGGAATGCCACTGCCTCTCGGCGCTCAAGCGCTAGTTTGGGCGCTCAAGCGCGCTTGATACGTGAAAATGAGTGAAAGTCACTGCCTCTGGGCGCTCAAGCGCTTATTCGGGCGCACAAGCGCGCAGACACCCGTCCAAGCGCTCTGAATGACCTGATGATGACCAAAATTCTTCGCAGTGGGCGCTCGAGCGCCCATTTGAGCGCTCGGGCGCGCATCCCGAGACAGCACCAACCTAGTTTACTAAAATAGTCATAACTTGAGCTTCAGATCTCTGATTTGAGCGCGGTTTGAACCCACGAGAAGCTATCTGTGAGTTCTGTAACATAGTATGAGATGAGAACTATAAAGTAAGTACATAATTTCCAATTTAATAATATGTGAAGAGAGTTTAGTATTGAACTCGAACAAAATAATGATATGATGTTAAGCTTAATTTATTTTATTCCGCAATGTAATATGGTTATGATCACGCAATTGGGCATTATAAATTCGGCATGTTTTAAAATGAAAAATTTAACCGGATTTTAATTGAGCCCATGTGATTGTAACTGCGCTTAATATCATAATGTGATGTTAACAAACTGGTTCTAGAACGGTGCGTTACAAGTACGCTATTGTTCCTCGCCAACCCAGAATATCCGGATATTCCTCGGGGACATATCCGGATATCCAATATCCGGATATCTCTCAGTCAATATCCGGATATCCAATATCCGGATATCACTCTGGCAATATCCGGATATCGCTATCCGGATATTCAGATCTCCATATCCGGATATCAATATCCAGATATTCCACGGCCAATATCCGGATATTTCGCGATAGAATGCAGTTTCTGCATTTTGCGAAGATATCCTTCCAAGGTTCCATTTTTAACATTTCCAGAAGCTTAAACATGCATCTTAAGGTTCATTGAGGTTTATATGACAGTTGGTTACTTGTTTAATTCATTAAACATGCCAAGACTTCATCTTTAAGCAACCAAACTCAAGACCAAGATTGGTACAACTTACCAAAGGTACAAAACAGGAAAGCAAAGGCTCATGGAGCTCTCCAAATAGCTCCAACAATGCAGACCAGGAAGGTGCACGAAAATGCCACACCAAAGATTGATTCTTGCACCAAAAGATGGCTCCTTGGCACCACCAATGCCAAGCCAAAGGTCCACACCCTCTCAACAACCCAAATTCAGAACCAAAACACACTCTAGAAACACCCTCCTCTCAGCAAAAGTTGTAACCCAACCTCACAATGCACCCTCCCAAGTGTTTGCAAGGTCAAAGAGAAGGAAAATCAAGAGAAAATGGTGGTTTGGTCTCAAGAGATGAAGAACAAGCAATGGAACAGTGAACACACCCTTGACCAGCCACCAACTCACACAAACATCAGAATCCTCCTAGGGTTGGGTGCAACTTTCATTTATATAGCCACTTAAGCTTTAAATACACTGTATTAACTTTAATTGCTACGCTTAGCATTTTAATCCCAAACTCAGGATTCTTAACCTACTCAATTTTATAAGAATTATCATATTTTTCTTATATTTTTCCGAGCACCTTTCCGGTATGCGCTTTTAATAGTCAGTACCAGTTTCTGGCACCAGTTCTCATTATTTTGACTTGAAACTCGTTTTACAAGTCCTACATATTATTCTAGTAATTATCATGCACTTATTATAATTTTTTGGGATACTTTTTCGGTACGCATTTATACTGACTAGCAGAACCGCTATCTGCACTTTTCTTCCGAAAAGCGACTTTCAGCATCCTTACTCACTTACTATAATTATTAGAGCCTCATAATAATTATTAGGGACAATTATGAAATTATTTCCTAATTTCACATAATTAATTAATTAATTTCCTTAATTAACGGTGCGGGTTCTTACAATCTACTCCATACATTTGTGTAAATCCCTTTGCTACAAGCCTTGCCTTGTATCTGTCAATGCTCCTATCTACCCTTAGCTTTACAGTATAAACCCATTTGTAACCAATTGTCTTCTTCCCTTCCGGTAGAGATGTTAGACTCCAAGTATTATTTTTCTGAAGTGCTTCCATTTTAGTGTTCATAGCTTGCTTCCACTTAGGATCTTCCAATGCTTTCTGCACACTATTAGGAATTTGTACAATAGATAATTTATCAATTGTTAAAGCATATAATCCAGATAACCTATGAGATGACACATAATTGCTAATGGGATATTTCCCTTTCACTTTCAGGTATGGTTCATAAGTGAACTTCGGTATACCAATGTTTTCCCTTTCTAATCGTCTAATATGTGTGCTATCTGAAGTCAGAAGATCTGTATTGTGGACAGTAGTAGGTGGGATTGAATGATCTAAATTTTGGGCAGAAGTGATTTCAGTAGTAGTAGGTTCAGAGAGTGTTTCAGATGTATCCAAGGATAGGGTTTCAGGTATGTGGGATAAGTTTGGTGTTTCATGTAGTGGAGGGTTTAGAAGAGGATTAGTATCTATGAGATGAGTATTGGTAGAGGAAGATAAAGGAATAGAAGTAGAGGACCAAAATTCTTCTTTTCTAATATTATGTATCTCCCCCTGAGAAGAAGAAGAGGAAACTCCCCCTGAATAGTAGGCTTCGAATTCATGAAAGGAAACTTCAAGTGTGACATACATCTTACGGGGTTTTGGGTCAAAGAAATGGTAGCCTTTTTGTAGATCAGAGTAGCCCACAAAGATACATCTTTTTGCAAATGGATCAAGCTTGGTTCGTAGAACTTTTGGGGTATGAACAAAGGTTGTGCACACGAAGACTCAAGGTTTCAAATTCATAACGTGAGGAATGGAAAAGAAGGTTTCAAGTTTTTGTTGAAGAGTAAAAAACTTCAAGGAACTAGAGGGAGAACATAAGCTGCAGAAAGAATAGCCTCACCCCAATAGTGAGAAGGTACATTCATGTCAAATAAAAAGGCTCGAGTGACCTCTAATAATTGCCTATTTTTCCTCTCAGCCAATTCATTTTGCCGAGGTGTATATGCACATGAAGTTTCATATTTGATCTCTTTAGAGTTTAGAAAATCAAAAAATTCCTTATTCTTATATTCAAGTCCATTGTCAAATTGCAGAATTTGGATTGAAGTTTTAAATTGAATGTCAATCATATTATGAAAAATTCTGAAACACAAAAAAAACTTCATTTTTGTTTTTCAGTAAAGAGATCCACATCATCCTAGTGCATTCATCAATAAAAGACACATCATAAAAGGCATTCGAAAAAGAAGACACTCGAGCTGGTCCCCAGACATCAGAATGAATAACTTGAAAGGGAATCTCACTTTTATTTAAACTGGGATAAAAAGGGATACTATGGCTCTTAACCATTTCACAAGTAGAACACAGAAATTCAAAGGGATTACATTTTGAAAATAAATGAGGAAATAATTTTTTCAGATAAGGAAAAGAAGGGTATCTTAATCTCATATGCCAGAGCCAGAGTGTAGGATGGATTTTATCCGAATTGTGAACAACTGCTGCCCTATACTTTATGTCAGATCCACTATGAGAGGCTTCAAAAAAATAGAGGTTGTTCTTTCTAACACCATAGCCAAGAATAAATTTTGTTTGGATGTCGTGAAACACACAGAATGTTGAGTAAAAAAATACTTCACAATTAAGATCCGAAGTCAGTTTTCTCACAGATAGGAGATTGAACTCAAGGGATGGTACAACAAGTACTGAGTGCAGGGTGATGGTGGGTGATAAGGTAAGTGTTCCTTGACCAGTAATTGAAGCAAAACCACCATTTGCAATAGGAACAGATGACTTATCACAAGGCAAAAATGCAGTCAAAATAGAAGCACCATGAATCATATGGTT